CAGACAGAGCTCATTAGAGTGTGCTGGTACTCTGAGCACAGGCCTGGCCCTCCCTGTGTCCTTGCACGAATATGGTCTTCACACGTCCTCCGCAAAAGCACTCCCGCCCCCACTTCTTTTTTCCCCTCTTCTCTCTTTCTCTCAAAGGTGCTGATCAATTCACAGCCTCCTCTGGAGGTGTGAGACTCATCCCTGCACTTTGTGATTGGCTCAGGCGTCACAAACCCTCCATCGTTCGCTCCCGTTCTCTTTCTCCCCCTCGCGCTATCTCTCATTGAGGGCAGCGGCCTACTCTTTTCACCTCTGGGTTCTGCCAGCCTGTGGCCAGGCTTCGGTCAAATGAAATCACACTAATCAAACTCCCCCCTCTCCTTCTGGCTCTCTCTCTCCCACTTTCTCCTCCTCTCTTGTGGCTCTGAGCCCATTAGCACACCTGAAATAATAACTCAAGTGACAAATGTTTTGGCACTTATAGCTGATAGACCAAGAGAAAGGGTGGGAGAGAGCACACCATGCTCTCAGAGACTCAGACACGGTATTTTCCAATCCCAACTGTGTCAACAGGGCAAGATGACAAATTCAGAAATCATCCTATGAGAAAACTCCAAAGCTTGATGTTAATAATAAAAACACAAATTCAAGTGCAAGTATTTGTGTGCTGCTTTAATAGAAATCTCATTTTCAAGACATTGACAGTGAGTTTCATTGATAACATGTTGTTTTAACAGTGCCCTTATAATGTAACAACATGCTGATATCTCACAAGTGCTTTTTTATGCTTGACAATAATCGACTGATATTTATTGGAAACTTCGCTATGCGTTTTTCTTAGTGTAAAATCCAATAATAATCCGTAGTAAATCAAATGTATTATAATGCTTAAAACTTAAAGGAAAGTAAGTAAACGCTGTCATATAATTTGTGAAGTTGTGAAGTCTAATTTTTAATTTTGACGCAGCCGTGCGTAGATTATTATTACCTGCATGTTCATTTAGATTTATAATTGTAATGTTACTGTTTGTGCTTCATTCCTAACTGATGTTTGCTAGTTACGGGAAAATAGAACATCATTTGCAACCGAAAACTTCAAGAAGGCAACAGGCTATTGATTTAATGAATTTTAGCTTTAGCCTATTAATAAGGCGAACAAAGGTGAAGTGAGACATTTTCTGTTGATTTGCCATTAGCGTTCTTCTTAACAAACATTATCCAAAAGCACATCAGTATCATCTCATACTACTTTGATAAACAATGGAGATTTTTTTTTAATTAATGGAAGAATAAACATCTTGTAAAGATGATTAAGCCTAGATTTTAAGTTACCATATCTGACATCCGTCATCAAACAAATACTTTGTCAAGTAGTTTTATATATTAATTAATACATAGCCTATACAGCCTCCTAAATTGTCATAATTGATTATCGTCATTATTAAACTAAGAATTCGTGTTTTAACAGTTATTTAAGAGTGGCGCGACATTATTGACTGCATTTCGCCTGATTTTGTGCGTGTCGGAAAAGTCATCGAGTCTCATTAGGAAACAAAGAAAGAAAATTCTGAAGGTTTCCAGTAGAAGGCGCACATGATCAAGCATACAGGTCACTGCAAGCCTTTGCATATGATAAATATGTTTTTCTGTTGGATCTTGTGTAGTAGTTTACATTATTGCAAATCCAATAGACCTGCAGTACGCTTCTCAATTAAGAGCGTTTGTTAAAATAATAAGATTAAGCATAAATAAAGCAAGCATAAATACAACAACAAACTGAAATAAAATAAAACCACAACGCCAAATAAAATAAAAACAGACCTATGAATATGTACATTAAAATGCATAAATGCTCAGTCAAAATAGCTCGTTCTTTTTAATGTTTCCAATTAATAAAATGTAAGCAAAGGCTAAATGTAATCATTTGAACTACACCTGTAAAAAAAAATATTTTAGCCAGTGTGTTTTTCCTTCAGACTAATCGTACCTAAAATTCGCGGACGCATGCACGTATCTGATTAATGTACGTATAGCCTAAAAAACGTATGAGCTATCCAAAGTGCCCAAAGTTTTTTGTATAGTTTTACAATTTTGTCATCATGTTATATGCGTAACCTTGTCAAGTCAATGAATTTAATTTTCCTCACGATTAGTAAAATACGAATTCCCTTTTATTATTTTATTAGCCACTAATTGTCTAAAACGTCTCTGTTGCGCGCTTGGATAAGGGAACTCTTCAAATAAATAGATACACGATTATTTGAATATTTACACACTTCACAATTGACAAGCACTTGAAACGCGCTGTAAGAGCATTATAACCAGGCAGTGGCGAGATCAAGAAAAAGTTAGTAGCCTGCTGTTTTATCCCAGCGCGTCTTACCCATTCCCGATAGTCTTGTAACTTTGAGGCAGTTGTCAGCAGTGGAGATGGCAGGGTTCACTGCTGACTGGCCCCTGGTCGCAGATTGCTGCGGGGGGATATGAAGGATGACCTCCGTTTGACTTCTGAACCACAGCGGCATGTTGATTTCAATGGCGACTTAGGCAGAGAAAGATTCAAATGAATAACAAATATTGAGGCAGAATGGGAACGTTCCTGTAATAATGACTTTATGCGTTCCAACACGTTCTTGTTAGATGGAGCTGTAGATTTATTTAGAGGCCCCTTGTTCTAAAAATAGGCATTTTTATATGCCACTTTATACTTAATCTATATGTAATGTATTATTTAGTATAGTAAATATAGTACATATTTTCCTAATTATATTTGAATTAACAAAATAAATTAAGTCTAAATTAAGTTATATAAAATATTTTAAGCATACTCAACCCCATTGCGCAGTTGTACAAATGTTGCCATTGATGCAAATACATGCTTTATCTTTTTGATTTGATAATGCATCAGGCGCACAGTTCAATTTCCTCGGTAAACAGTCGGACTTGTTTTTAAACTCCCAATTTAATTTCACCTCGAACGACTCGCATCTCTTTCTAAGCCCAAATTATCCGAAACGATGGCATTAACTCACTGATGCGTGCTGCAATCTGCTGACCCTCACTAAAAGGCAACCTAAACAGTGAAAGTCCTTGCCCTCATTGTGCTCTATAGCGTACTTTTATAGATGCTAATTGAAGGAACTTAATTACTTTATAATGCTATTCTGGTACTGTGACAGCAGTTAAGCGTTTGGGTAAGCACAGCTTTCATGTCATCCCGTTTGCTTCTCACATAATTGAGACAGACACAAAACTAATGTTGAGATTACAAACATCAATAAAACAATTGTGTTAACTAACTATAATATATATTAAATCTCAACCGCACATACTCAACTGAAATTAAAATAATGATTTAGATAAACTGAAACTTTATTGTCATAGTATATACATTATAGCCTACTTACCAATAAACGCGAGCGTGTTTATCTGTTCTACGGCGTCGGGTTAGGCATGCATTTGTTCTATCTGTTGCATGAATCCTTCTTTCATTTGTGTTTAAGTCCACATCAGATCCCTCGCCCGCGCAACGCGCACACTTCGTTTGCCGAGCGCTTTGGGAATTTGACAGTAATTTCTTGCCTGTAAATGTGCGCGGCGGATCCTACCGCTGCTCTTCCGAGGGAAGCGAGGGTTGTGTGATGCTCAAGGCGGCTGATAAGACACTGGTCCTTGCATGAATCGCTTCTGATCGGTGACAGATGCTCCTCAGACAAACTTCATTGCACCTTGTCACCGGGTCAGTTGTGTGCACTTCAGCCTAAAACAGTCAGTGTGTGTCTGAAGTCTCTTATTCAGCTATTTCATTTGAGCATTTTATGGAATGTGTATTATTTATATCAACAGAGAGGTTCTTTTGTTTAGGCAGAACACAAACCACTTCTCCAAATTGCAAATCTGAATATTTTGCACTGTACAGACTGACACTGAAACTACTGGAATGCCTGTTAAAAGTTCTATCCTCGACTTGGAGTGATAAGAACAGGAATATGATGACACGAAAGAGTTATTGTCGGGGGTTATTTATTTTGTAGTTCCTTTAACCTACAAAATAAATAAGTATGCATTCACATTTTGATATTATATATAATTATTATCTTTTCTCATTGAGTTGGCTATTATGTGTGTTTGAGTGTGTGAGAGAGACTGTGTGTGTGTGTGTGTGAGAGGAGAGAGAGAGAGAAAAGGAGTGAGAGTAGCATTAGAACAAAACAGAATAAGAAGACTACATTTTCCCTCCAGATTACAATATGTTCATTCCAGCCTTTCTTCATTTATGGAAGCATATCGACCGATAAATTAATGATTGATCATTCTTTGAACCAATAGACGACTTGATTCACTGTAGCACGCTTTGATTGGACACTGCACCAAACTCCTTAGATCCTACAGTAAGTGGATGAGCCCATTCACAAATGGCGGGGGTGTTTGGGCTGAGAGCGCACGCAGCACTGCTGAAGCGCACGCAGCATATGCTGTTTCTGAATAATGATGTTTGTGTGAAATGTAAAGTACACAGGCATATGGTAAAAACAATATTTCGTATTATTAGTGCAGTTCATTTATACAGACTTCCGCGTAAAACACAGGCGTGCGGGAAAACTTCATTACGCACACTGAACATGGTTTCCAAGTTCCTCGACTACTGTAAATGACGCTCTCCCATTTGGATACTCTGATCAGAAGTGATATTAAACAGTGTGTTGAGAGTGAACTGATGTGAAAGAGCCCACGTTCCATCTGTAGCTATATTTAAAGCATTGTTTTTATATAAACACCTACATGACTTTATAGATTGCGTTGCGTGTCTTCGAGCGCAGTGCAACCTAAAGCACAGCGCGGTCTCTGCGTGTCAGAGCTCGGTTCATGTTGAATCGTGGTAGTAGTGGTCTGCGCTTTTCTGCTTCCCACACATCTCACCCCCCTGCTTTGGCTGGAACTTGATGTGGCCCATTGCATTGTGCAAGACGCGACCTGTTATGGCCACCACTACTTCCGGGTTTCAGCAGTCTGGTCCAGATTCAGCTGCTCGAGCCGCGTTCAACACACACTCATTGTACACAAACGGGGAAAGGCAGCTCGCAGCATCGATCGTGGCTCCTTTAAGAAAAAAACTAAGCCAGAATTATCAGCCCACCTCCTCTTGATCTCATTTAGAAGCTATTGCATAAAAAATCAACTCAGGAGAAGAGAGTGATCAAAGAAACGAGAGAGAGCTTCATTTTTTGTGCATTTGAGTAGTATTCTCGTTAGGGGTGCTAACCAGTGGAAGCGCGCAGAGGATCATCATTCATTCAGCACTTTGACAAGCTCGCGTTTGATTGATTGACAGCCGGAGTGGCAAAAAGCCATGAGATGCGCTAGTTTTGTTTGAGGGGCTATTTTCATACTGCTTTGGAAAAGAAGGTTTTGCTCGATCCTTGTCGCTGTCCACGGGAAAGAAAGCGAAGGGGACCTATTCGCTGAACGCGTCTGGCTGAACTTGTGGTGAAGGACTGGCTTCATCGCTCGCTTGAAAGAGGCAGTTGGATTTTTTGGGAAAACATATCCCACGTTTGGAATTTGCGTGCTAATTTCCTATTCACCCTGGCCTCATAGGGGATATATTTTTGATAAAAGGAAGCCGAGGGAGTGTGGAGGGCGATGGCGCAGAGGGTACGTATCCCGAAAAGTTTCTTCGACTCCGTATTGTTGAATGCAGTTGGAAATACTGAAACGTGGCCGATGACATTCAGACTCGCAGTCAAACTTTCTCTTCTTTTGCCTACCAGTTTTGTTGTAACATTCAACTTTGCATCGCTCACATTCATGCATGCATACTTTCTAATTACATTTGACAGGGAGCAATTCTTAATTTTTGTTTAACCATAGTTTTTCTATATGCACTGCATTTGTTTAAGTTTCTTTAGTTTCGTCATGAGGACACATAATTTAAAAAAAAAACTTTAAAACTATTGGACTAGTTCAACTCTCATAACTAAAAGTTATTACAATACATGATATGATAATACATTGTTCAGGAATATTATTAGGGAGTTCAACAAATTCAACTCAGCTATATTGTTTATATATTCTATACAAAATAGTCTTTTTTTCAAACAGCATTACAATGAAACATAGTTGTGCGCTTTAACTCGTAAAGTTGACATTTACGGGTTGGCCACTTTTTCTTTGCATTTGTAATCAAATGTAAACAATCACAAAGTAGATTTCAACGCAACTCTCCGACCTTTTGCTTTTGATGGTGGATGTAGCACCCTGCTGTCTTGCTTACACTCTCTAGATTTAGATTTGAAATGTGTTATGGTCTCATCACACTTTCCCTGCAATATCATGGAACTTATAATAATTATGATAAATTTTCAATGTCATTGATTATTTTAAATAAACTAATCAAATATTACATTGAACTGTTAGGCACGATTGGACAATGTAAATTAGTGTTTAATTAGACTAATCCTAAAAGTGCTACGTATGTTAATATTGAACTAGTGTGTAATTAATTTAGTTTGACAACAGTAGGGTATAATAATCTATATAATACACAGTTATTACATGCAAATGACATTACTTATTACTTCAGTTGCATTTGTAAAAATAAAAATTCACATAAAAAGTGGCACAACACAACACTGCTCAGTCGTGTGATATTTTTTTGTGATGATCTCAATAAAGCTGTAGCTCAGTAGTCGATGTTGATGTGTCCGACGCTGTATTCTAAGTCTGTCTGTTTCAGTCTGTTTTTTTTTTTTGAGTTTTGCAACATCTTTTTGGATTTAGGGTTAAAACCACGAGATAGTCTGCTTGTACACTTGATATATTTAATTACTTTGTAATACCAGAACAAAGTGTTTTCATTTCGCAAAAGCCATACTGTTTTGTCCGAGAATATTCGATTTATATTTTCTTTTAGTGTATTTTTTTCCTATGTATATATTGTGTAAGAGGTAAAAGTGACAACATGGGAATGTTGCCCTTCGTGTGTGTGTGTGTGTGCAGTACGAAGATATAACCCACTATGGGATGGACGGAGTAGGAATCCCGAGCACGATGTACGGGGACCCGCACGCCGCCAGATCCATGCAGGCTGTTCACCTGAACCACGGGCCCCAGCTCCACTCCCACCAGTACCCGCACACAGCCCACGCCAACGCCATGCCGCCCAGCATGGGCTCATCCGTCAATGACGCTCTAAAAAGAGATAAAGACTCCATTTACGGGTACGTGTAGATAGCCAAGACATATTCTTTATGATTAACTTTGCCAGTAACACATTATTTGACCTGCAATAATTTCTGTAAAACATATTGAGAACTTAGGGCGCCATGCATGTTTAATCTTTGTAAAAGTTACTTATATTCTAAAAGTTTTCTCCTCTCACTTTTATATTAGTTCACCGTCTGACTGTTCGTTTTGCCTTTCTTTTTGTGACAGCGTTTTTTTTTAATTAGTTTGTTTTAAAAATCTTACTAATATTTCGTTTTAAACTTCAAAATTAAAGTTGATAAATACTGAATTTTAAAAAACACGATTGCGCATAAAACATCGATATGTATGTTATGTTTAAGCTATAGCTTTTTAATTGTTTAAACTTCAGGCCTAGTTATTAGTTAAATGGATAAAATGCATTTTTGGACAGCTTTATTACAATGAATTACAATGAACACTCTCACACAACCATAAAGGATATTTTCCACATAGCTCATAAAATGTGCAAACATATCTGGATGTGCGGAGTTACTCCAAATGCGCCTAGCATACAAAAGCTGCTGGAGCACAAGGGTTCTCATCACAGCGCTGGGTATAAATGTTGTTGTCGTTTAAAACAGCAATTTATTCGCAGAACGCGCCGTAGAACTTACTCGCATTCATTATGAATTAGATACGTCGCTAAACATTTACACAAGATATAGGCCCACTATTTGAACCATGGTTAAATTGCATGCTTGGCCTAGACTCAACGTGAGCATTTCTTAGATGCTGTGACCTCGTAGCCCACTGTTTATATTGACTGTTGTATTTCAAGTTACATGTGATCTGACACAGTATTAAACACAAGTATAAAGCTCGTTATAATGTAAGTGACAACACACTAATCGACATAAACGTACGAGTAAACACTTCATATCTATATGATCGTGGCGCAGTGGTACGCACGTACTTTTGATTGGTGACAAATTAAAAAGAGTTAATTAAAGCTAAATTTCTCAAATGCAAATTAGATTGTTCTAAAGCTTCCAGTAGAGACCGCTTATACACCGAGAAGGAGTTGTAAACTCTTATAAAATGTCATGTGCTAATCCAGAGCTTTCCCCGCATTGACCTCTGTGTTTTTTTTAATTCCAGGCACCCTCTGTTCCCACTTCTAGCACTAATTTTTGAGAAATGTGAATTAGCCACTTGCACACCTCGAGAGCCCGGTGTGGCTGGGGGCGATGTGTGTTCGTCAGAGTCTTTCAATGAGGATATAGCAGTGTTTGCAAAACAGGTCAGAAACTGTTTTATGGCGCAAAAAGTTTTTCCATGTTTTATTGTGTAGTTGCTGCGTTGACGTATTCTCTGTAACTTTAAATAATAGGCTACTACTAAAAAAAACCACACACGGGCTAATTAATGCTTTTACATTTACTTATTTATTTTTTTTAAGAATTTTTTTTTTCTCTCTCTCACAATTTTAAATTATTTACATGCATATCGTCTCAGATTCGAGCAGAAAAGCCGCTATTTTCATCAAATCCGGAGCTGGATAATTTGGTGAGTGCAAATTAGTATTATTATTTTGTATTTGCCTCCAAGAGTTTTAATGTATAACTTTTATAAAATATTCAGAAAGTGTTCTTTAGACAGAATTGTCTGATTTCTTGATGGCATTGCTATTCGCTATGGATATTTTTTTTTCAATTTTATGGAATTTTATGGTTCAATTTTTTATGCTAATTGTTTTTTAGCATTAACGCTTTATGTTGGCGGAGGACACACGTCCCTCTCATTAAAACATGGATTAAAGTGATAAATTATTCATAAATGAAGTATAATTGGACTTAATTGCAGTGCATTGTCTAGAAAGGGATCTCAAGTCAGAAATGATCCAAAATGTCATAAATCACTTAATTTGTTTGTAATTGTCTTGGGCCTGTTTATTTTGTCACATTTAAAGTGAACTTTTTTATTCATTGTCAATTTTCCCCAGATGATACAAGCCATTCAAGTTTTACGGTTTCATCTTTTGGAGCTCGAAAAGGTAATCCAAGTTTACCCCAATTGGCCGGTCCTCTCTTCAAACCTATGGGCCTCATCTGCATAAATGTATTTTTCCTGGTCTGTTGTAATTAGTGTCAAAATCAATCATGCTGCCTATTTCTCCTCCGAGTTTAATTACAATGCAACCTGCCACCACGGCCACAGATATTTCATAGCAGTAATTTCAATGTTTCTCTGCACGCTGTGCCACCTAACGTAGTCGTAAGCGCTTTTTGTTCATTTATTCTATTATATTGACTATCGTTATTCCGGAATACAGTCGACCACGTTAATGGCACGTTTTGCGCGCTTATCTGTTATCAGCAATACTCTTTGGAGGAATTTTGTCAACACCTGTTTCCACGTCGAGAGTGGGGCTATCAAGTGATTTATCGCCAAACCATATCGTTTTACAGTATTGAATACACATCCATTGGCTCCAAATCTCCAGATATTTGCATGATATGTGTGTTCAGATAACACGGCGAAGCAATAGTTTGAGCATTCAGCCATAAATGAAGAATTCTCCCCTCGCCACTAAATGTCATCCGCCATATTATTCCCTTGTAAAGAGACGGTAATGAAATAACTAGACGAAATTAAACAGTTTACCTTAAATGTCAGTCAAACAGGTCATCTCTCTAATGGCCACAACCCCGGGAGCAGATGAATTTTACACGGGTGTTGAATACGGTGTAGCCCGTGAGTCGTCTTGTCAGTGTCAATTTTCGGCGATATCTCTATTTTGAGAGGGAGTAAAGTTATTTCACATTCTGGATGCGTCTGATAGCTATCAGAGAAGGCCATTGGGAGAGGTTTTCCATGTCAATAGGAGTTCTGGATGCACTTGTCAGTTCGCTGTGATGACCCTTTGTGATTGTTCCCCCCTCCTTGCTTCCCTTTTATCTATAGGTACATGAACTTTGTGACAATTTCTGTCATCGGTACATCAGCTGTTTGAAGGGAAAGATGCCCATCGACTTGGTTATAGACGACAGAGAAGGAGGATCAAAATCAGACAGTGAAGAAATTACAAGATCATCGGGGCCCCTTGATCAGGTACGTGCAGGAGTCCATATCTTTTCTGGCCATTCAGCTCGTCTTTTGGGTCACTTTCTCTGCCCCGCCGTTATTTGCATACGATTAAGGCTTTTAAATTCCATCGGATTGAAAAATTTGGAATAATGTGGCCCATTATTGCTTCATTACGGTTTGATCCCGGAACTGACCCGAGGAGATTAGCTCGTGAAAGCATTGCCATAAACTTGACCTGTTTCTTGTCGATTTTAATTTAGTCCTTTCCCTCTTCTTTTCTCTCGCCCGCTTTCATTTAACCAAACCAAACGGTTGGGCTATCTGTGGTATCTATTACTATCAAGAACCAAGTGGAGACATATCTATAGTAGACATTTAGAGATTTGGTGCTTTGGTTTTCTGCTTCATTAGTTGCCTTGTCAGTGTTTTTTCCTCAGACGAGTGCGTACAATGCTTAAACGCAGCGTTCTACTCTCAGCCTTTTGAATAGCATAAGCAGCGCCGTCGTGTTTTAGTACTGTGCCATACAGTATTTTGCGTTTATTGGAAAATGTGTGCAATTCTGTTCCTCTGTGCCTTTTTAATGTGCGGCAGCTCATACTTGTGGATCCTTTGACGTTCTTCAACTCTAACGCACTTTTAATTCAACTATTACGCGTTGTTCAATGCTTTCATCTGGACACGCTGCATAATATGTATATATCTATTTTAAATATAATGATATAAGATTTGGGGAAAAATTAAGTGGTCATATTAAGGGGATTAGCAGATTCACCAGCATAAAAAGTAATGAAGCGATTAGGCTAAATAATTTAAATCCGTCATCTTCCATATGGCTGAGTGATCGAATAAAGCATTGACCAGTTGTAGCTTTCCAATGACTGCGTCGGCCACCAGTTTTATATGAGGGAGAGAAAACCCTGTCCCATTCATTACCAAACAGGGACTCTTAATAAAACGACCTTTGGCTGCTTTAGTCTTTTCTACCTCGGCTGTGTTCATGATTATGTTAATGCGCGGATCTGTACAGATAATGCATCGAATTCAAAGGAAGCATTAACTAGCATAATGCCAATTTTGTTTATAACTCTTTGAACAAAACTCTATCAGAAAGCACGTGTCAACATTTTTGAATACATGAATTACTGAGCAGAGATGAATTTAAGCGATAAAAATAAATTAGGCTTATATGAAGACCCCTGGGTACGTAGGTATATAACTTGATAAGAACAATTTATGCTTTGCTGGAGGCCACGAATACAGATCTTTAATTGACTTTAAGATGAAGACATGTCCTATATATTTTTTTCTTGACATGTAACACCCAAATATTAGGGTTAAGTATTAAATATTTACGTCTTCATGAAAGTCTGATTCCTCAATGTAAGCTGACCAACTTTTCAGAAGTTTGCTAATGCGAGGTAGAATCTGTTTTTATTTGATTATGAATCCTAAAAAAAATGCCGCTAGGTTAGAAATGTTCTCATTTAAATTTGGATGAGCTGCAAAGAGAGATTTAACACTTAAAATAAAAGTGTTTCTACATTTAAAAATAAGTTTAGATAGCCTACGTATGGGCGGTTTTTGGATAACAGCTACAGAGTTAAAGTTTGACTTTAGGTCCTATATGCATTTCACATCTCATTTTTTTGTGGTTACATTTCTGAGCTTGCTAGGCGGTGACATCCCTAACGAATTTGCGTCGCTCATGCATTATCTCGTTCCATATGTATTTTTAATATATGCCCTCGGGCATAAAGTTGAATTGGACTGGGAAAAAAAAATCTCCTTTGTGCAAATTCTCAACAATGTTAACAAGAGGGAGAGAGGCGGTTCATTTATTCAAAGGCCAATTTATTCCAGCAGGAATACTGCAGCATAAGAAAATCAGAAATATACATAGAATTTATTAAACTCCGTGGTCCAGCGCTGTGCTGTGTTTTCGTCCTCCGTGCAGCGAAGCATCGTATCAATAATGTCTCAACTCCGGCTTAGCATTGTTTTGCAAGTATCGAGTGAAGAGAAAGAGGGGCAGAGCTCAAGGGTGAAAAAGTCAGAGCCTCTCTCTCTCTTCACTCTGGTGAATGCGGCCCAGCCAGTTTGGATCACGTTGTTTTCCTTGTACTGCCTGATAAACGCGCGGCCATATGAGCGGAGGGAATAGTTAGCAGCTAGTTAACCCCTTCACTGCGGTCTTCACTCTGAAGAATCAAGTTTTTGGTTGTTTGACAGCTACCACGTCACATTAAGTAATTACTACACTACTGGGGAAAAATAGTTTTACATAGGCTATTAGTATTAAGTGTAGTATAATATTAAACAATATGAGCGCCACTGTAGTAGGCTAGTGTCTAAATATATACATGTATAATGGTTAAACTTTATAAACTATGCTTCATACCGGAATACTTATAAAATAACAAGCTTGATCAAACTTCAAGTGTATTTTTGTATAATGTATAATTCGTGTAATGTGTTTCACTGACTTGTTGGAGAAAGTTGGATAAGTCATCTCTGAATTAAAATACTGACTGGATTGGTAAAAACACATGGCATTTTCATTCAACCTGAAACTAAAATATTACTACTACTACTAACAAAATAAATAAATAAATAAATAAAAACTCTAAAATGATTTGTGTGATGGTAATGACAACAGAACTGACAACCATTCTTTGTTATAAAACATTACGTTAATTGAGATTATAAATTAACTAGAATTATTAAATTAATTTTACGTTCTTAGGAAGTAGTACAAAATAGAATTTCCCTGATTTAACACTGTTTATGCATTTATTATCAAGAAGACAAAACAACTTATGAAAAATAGTTTTCTTAAAAATATTTGAGTTCTTTTCTTTTCTCAATCTAGGGTACAAAAAAAGTTATCCTAGTTAAAGAATCACTCTTATGATATATTCTTCTTACTATTCTTGTTTGAAAATAAAAAAGTGTGCTGTGTTACAGAAATAGTTAAGTGAAATTAGTCATGAATGATTGATTTTGATACAACATTTACCAACAAATACATTAAATGTCGTCAGAGTGCTGACTTTATCTTTTGTTTCGGCATGTTTATTGCCTTCTTGTGCCTCAGTGCAAAGCAGGCTAATTTGTTTTCCGATGGGCTGGCTCATGGCAACTTGTTTATGACGTATTTGCTCCGTGCTGACGCTCACTGAAGGCAAAGTAAAGAGTCTGAATGCATTTCCATGGGCTGCAGCGTTTGCACAGTTGTCTTTAATTGCAGAGAGGCACTGCCATTTGCTAATGAACTCAACGCCATGAAAACCTCTGCAGTGCTTAAGACTTCAGTACTCGAGGGCTCTTTAGATTATTCCATGCGGCCTGAAGAGGGGATGAAATAATTTAAATGCTGAATAGTTTCTCTGTTTGCAGTTTCCTTTCTGTTTTGTTCAGGGCCAATTTAAAAACTAAGGGTGTTATTACAGAGTAAGCTATGTTATTAATGTATTGCATAGAGGCCACCCAGAAGTTACCTTGTTTTTGTGCTTAATAATTTGTGAAACAAAATATAATTTTGCATTATTATTTTTTTTTTGTATTATGCTCAGCTTTTAGTGAATGAGAATATATGGGCCTGTTTTAAAGCGTTGCATAAATAATGTCACTGTTTCCCTGTCATGAGAGATTCTTTCAGTTGTTGTTATATCCTCACTGTTGAATGTATCACTTGTGCTCAAGAAAACATCTTTTTGCACTTTTGAATGAGAACCGAGTGTACAAAATCTGTTTTTAGTCACTCTGTTTTTAGTCAAGTAATATTTCACGTGCTTTTGTTTTTCTTGTGAACCAAAAGTATTGTCTTTTTAAGTGTAGATTATTTGCTTCTTTTGATAGTACACTAGTTGGGCACTGTTGAAATTATTACTGTGCTATAATCATAGTCTTTGTTAAAGTAATGAGAAGGTGAGATCCCTCGTTCTTTATCTTGACAACTGTTGGCTGCTGTCAACGATTCAACAAGTGATATAAAGAACAGACATGTGACTATTTTACCCTGGCACGGGAATATCAAATTGTGGTTACTTCGATCAGTTACATTGAAAACAGGCATTATGCATTGAGTTAACTGCTCTTTTTAAAGAGGTGCTCTGAGTTAAGTTCATGAGATTGTTTAAAAAAATTGCCGTATTCATATATATATATATATATATATATAAATATATATATAAGCATATAATGTTGCTTGTGTGTAACTTTCCCCCAAAATGATAAGTTTTCCATAGTTAAACTTCTTTGCAATTCCATATTTTTTAAACATAATTTGTCTAAGAGAATGGTCAACATTGTATTTTTAAGAAATTATGCTTGAGGATCACACTATGAATTGTTTTTAAGCCAGTGATGTGAAAGCTATTGTAATTAAAGGAGATGTGTTATTATCCTACAGTGCCATTAAGGGTGACTCTACTGGTTTTTAAACGAGATCTCACCCACAGGCCATTTTAAGAGATTTTGCTTTCTCTGTAGACCAAATCCAAGCAGATTTTTTTTTTCAGCAATTATTCCCCCCTCCCCAATTTTGCTTTGTAAGATTTGTTAAAGGAGGTGTTTGGGGGATTGGACTGTTCTAGCATTCACCCTCCTTTTTTGTGTGTTTCTGTGCATGCCATTACCACATCCATTCATTTAAGAAGCCTTAATGTTTTTGCACAGAGTTGAACCAACAGCCACGTGGTCTGTTATCAACATTGAGGATCTCAGCCTTATCAACAGCCCGGAGTAAACAAATAAACAAGTGTCCTGAACAGATTTAGTTTTTGGTTGCAATCCACTGGGCAAAGTTCATGTGTGAATCTTGTGCTTCCCAAGTATTTCCCAGCAGAGCTTGAGTATTTTAGTGAGCTTGTTCAAGTGTCCTTGCTAATCTTGTTTGATGAGGCATATAAAAACTCTCTCTCTCTTTCTCACTCTGTGTGTGTGTGTGTGTGTGTCTCAGTCCATTTTGTTGTGCTATCTAGATGAAGCCAAAACCAAAAATAGTACAATGTGACACTGGTGGGTCTGTGTTAAAAAAAAAAAAAGGGAGTGAGAGAGAGCAGTCACTGTGGCATGGAATTGTAAACATATACTGTTTATGAGTTTTCTTTCCCCTGTGAAGTCTACAGTAACCTGAAACATTTTTCTTTATTATTATAAATGAATTGGAAGCCCAATATTCTTTGCATGAGTGCGTGTATAATGTGCAGAGAAAGAGAGCTTCCATCTAAGACCCAACACAATGAAAATGCAATGAATTGGAATGCCTCACCGATCATAGCAGAATCAGAATTTCCAGCAAGGAAAATCTTTTCATGGCGAATTAAGTGGTGGAGGAAGAAAATGGTAATGAAAAAAAAAGAAAAAAGGGAAAGGCACAGATGACAAACGCTGCTCCCTGGGCTACGCACTGCAGATTTAAGAACTTTAGCTAAAGCTATGCAGAATAGAATGTGGAAAATTGAATTTACTAAACAATTAAGCATTGAATTAATCTACATCCTGCACTTGAGAGAGAGAAGGACACGAGGAGGGAGAGAGAAAAGGAGCAAGGGAAGAGAAAACATGTGGAGGGGGAGGGGACGAAGCCCAAAAAAAAAGAAAACGACTGAATAAATCCTAGCTAGCTCATTAGAGGGACAGTGAATATATCAAGTGTGTTGTTGTGTGCAGCAGGACAGCATTCTCTCCGCCACGGCACTCATCTCTCTCGTAACCATCTGCATCTACACCGCCTCCACCCGCTGTTCATTTTGGCCCACATATTTACTCCTTCGCTTATGCGCCTGTGTGGTTTCCTCCGGGTGTCTGCTCACTGGTGGACTGCTCTGCGTTTTGGACATTTTTTTTTTAATTAATTAGTTGTTAGATCTGTGGTGGATGAGATTGTTGGGGCAGTTATAAATAGACTCGAGTGCACCCTGGAGATGTCACTCACCCTCGGACGAGACCCTCCCCCATTCCCATGGGGCCGAGCGGCAGCCTCCCACAAGCCCCGCTGCTCTTTTGTTCAATTACAGTTAATGCAATAGTTTGCTATTTTCTCGTTCTAATTATATTTTCGAGTGGGATTTGTTGTGCGTTAAAAAACATCCTTTTACGTATGGAGGCTCTGGGGTTCTCGGTCTCCAGGGTGCTGTACCATTCTTTTCCACAAAGCTCTGAATAAACAAGTTCCCTCCATTTTCTCTCTCTCTCTCTCTCTCTCTCTCTCTCTCTCTTTCTTTTACAAAGGGTTGTAGAAACTGGCAATTTCAGTTTTAACTGTTTGCTCCCTGGGCATGTGTTCTAGATTACCTCTTACGGCATACTTTTGGTATGCTGCAGAATACACCATTTTTTCCCCCTGGATATTAAAAAAAAAAAGCATATCTGGAGTGGCTGGCACTATTATGCCTGAGGTTTCTAGGAGACTTGTGGCAAGTCTATAAAATGCAATTTGGATTGTTTCAGAATTTTGGATTTTTTGGATTGTTTGAGAATTTTATTTTATTTTTTACCTAGAAATATTTTGAGTGGTTTTAATTCAAAGAGTACCATATAAATAAAAGAGAAGAATATTCTCATTTCTCTATACATTGGTTACATATTTTTATGATAATAATTTAACTTTTTTTTCACAAGCATGTTTGTGCATATATGTAGTAATAAACAATCTGTGGAGCAAAACCCTTAATAGATTTCCACAGAAATCGAAAGCAATTCATTCCCAGAGTTCTACTCATTTGCTTATGTAATATTTGGATTATAGTTTCAGTAAGAATACAGTATTTTACCTACATTTAGCACGTGTTTAAATCCTGAGAACTGTGAATATTCATGTCAAAACCTGCATTTAAAAACACAAAATATATTTTCTGGGCCAGAATTCTCATCTCTGATACGCTTTTTACATCAGAAAAGATGCTGTGGCCTTCATCTCATATTTTCCTGCTACTTTTGTGGAGGCAGCCAGTGATAAGAGGCAACATCTGTTTTGTTCTATAGTACAAGTAGACCCTGCATGGGGCTGAGTGTGTGCAGGCCCCGGCTCGCCATTGTTCCGTCCACTTCTCTTTATCCTCATGTCTGCTCCATTTGCCACATACCATCCGCCTAACAGCTGACACTTTCTCTTTATTATACACCTAAGCTTAATTGTCAATAGGATTTCTCTCTGTTTTTTTCTTCCTCCTCTTCCCAACTTGAAGGAGAATGGCTCTTATTTGATTTCATTTTGATTCGCTAGGCCAGCGAACTGACACATACGCACACACTTATTCCCTCCCTCGCTCTGGGATATAAGAGTGGTGACTGACTGGCTCTTGTTGTATTCAGAGATCTCAAGTTAGCTAGTGCATGTGAATGGACAAGCATGCACATCTTAGCTGCTATTGCTAATTCTTCTTTCTTTGTTTTTATATTTCGTTTCTGGACTATGGATATCCTGTCACTGGTAATACAATGTTTTTTACTTACAGTCTAGTGTGTGTTCTTTAAAATAGTGCAATTGTGCATTCTGCTCTGTGAAATGAGAAATGTGTATAAGGAAGCCAGTGATTGTGTGGCGTCATTAGAATGCTCAGTGACAGGGTTTGGTTCAATCGTTCTTGTAAACTGTGCTGACTGAATTGTCATGTGAGGTTGTAGGGCCTGGAAAGAGGTTGAAAAACAATTAAATGAGGAACATCTGATAAAGCCAGCTGTCTTTGTAGCATGGGACTGTAGCCTGTGTGTGTTTCTCTGTGATCTGATGCCTGATTGTGTGCCTTATTCCCTCTCTGTCTCTCTCTTCCTTTCCGCACAGACTTCATGGAACAGAGACCATGACGATACAGCATCTACACGCTCCGGAGGAACACCAGGACCATCCAGCGGAGGACACACATCACACAGCGGTGACAACAGCAGCGAACAAGGTAAGGATCTGAGACACCCTATGATGCATATGAAAGGGATAATGTACAGTCAGCCTGTCATTAACAGTTACTTATCAATTAAATGAATAAAAGGGCAAGGAATATTGATTTGAGTTTATTAAAGAGACCACAGAGTGATAGGACAGAAACTAGCACAGTTAGGTAGAAAATACGGGACAACGATTAGTTGCACAATACTTGATTGAAGCATCGACCAATCAGTCAAGAGAGCAGTGTAGTAAGTATGCTTCTATGGAAATGTCACTGACTATGCAGATGTGTCCAGCTTACCATCTGAAGCCGAGCATGTGTATGGAGAGAGTTAAAGCAGATGTTTAGGCCGCTGCTGGCTGGTCATGTGGCGTAGGTCCATCAGCTGGTTATGATAAGACTGCATTAATGAACCTTCCTCTGGGCCCATCTGGACAGGGTGTCTGAAGAAAGCCGCTGGTGATGACAGTCTAACAAAAGAGCTTTTACACTGATGGAGCTTTATGCGTTCTGTTATATTCCAGATGAAGATTCTGGAACTTTCAAAGAGAAATTAAATATTCTCAAAAAAAAAAAAAAAAAAACTCTCTTGGGTATCTTCTTGGTAGGATTTGACGAAAGCCAACTTCACTTCAACTGTAAACTGAGTCATCTACTGTTTGGCACTGTGATTGGCTAGTTCTGTGGTTTAGCCAATGAGAACCAATGTGGGAGGTGCCGGATGGAAGGGTGGAGGAGGGTTTCAAACAAACTGTAGGCAAAAAGCAACTTCATTTATTATTGAAAGGGATGTCAAGGCAGCAGTTTGAGGGCTGCACAGCCAGCAGGCAAAGCAGGTTGAGAGCAGAAAGGACCACATTATGTTCCAGATGACTGAGCAACGATTTATATACCAGCGCCGGTTTTCTCCCTCCGCAGAGAAGGAGAGCAAAAAGAAAAAGGCCGGCCTGGCCTAGTCGGTCAGATGGCCAATGACTAATGGCCCAGTTGCTCACAACACTCTGATTGGATGCCTTAATGAGCACATTTTGTGCCGAGTTTGGGCTCCTGCTTGTGGTGACCTTTGCTCTTTATTGACCAAAGTGACACGTCATTTTTCACATACTTCCAATTATCGCCAGGCTTTTAATGTTCACCCCCCTCCTTCCTCCCCTCACGTTCCCTCACCCAAGTGTTTTGGATGAGTGTTTGTTGTGTCATACGCTAGTGGGAAGAGGCTGAGCTATGAACCTGGACGTATGCTGAGTGTGTTCAGCTTGAACAAATGACCCAAGCACTTCAGACCCTTCAGTCTTATTCACGCCAGTGAAGGTTTAGTGGAAGTATTATGCTAATGTGGGTTAATTTCTGATTGTGTAAAGCAGTGCTGCTAACCGTATTAGCATGTTCTGTAAGGATTGACTTCATAATCCCAATAAGACCATTATTCTGCTGTTGGCCAAGAAACTCCTGCCAATATGTCCCCAACTGGTCCCCTCACTCGCTCAGACTCGCGCCCCCCCTTCTGTATTGTGCTTCTTTCTATGTGCTTATGCTTTATAATTAGCATTAACAAGCTATCTATGATACAAATATCTGTACAACTTCTGTAAAAAGGCTCTTGTTGCTACTGCGCTGTTCCTGCATCTTTAAAACCAAAAAACATCAGTGAATGAAATGAGAATGGCTTCTATACAGAAACTGCATCATAACAAACAAGGATACGCCTTCGAACTGCATAGGAACATTGTACCCACATGCATAACATAGTAAATCTGTAACCCATCAACATAGATATTGGCACCATAGCTTATGGTTCTAGTTGTTGCCATCCGCACCATGTTTTCCATGCTGCACCTAAATATCATCTCAGTATGACCGAGGACAGCATTTTCCTTGTTCGTGATTCTGTACGCTTCAAAGTGCGAGTGTCCCCTTAAGGGAGGAGGATAAAGCCCGCTCCTTCCTCTCTGCACTCACAGAAACTTTCTTTGTGGAGTCCAGCAGAGACTCAGCCCAGCCCATCTCTAATTAGACCCCGTTTATTAGTGTAGCGTGCTTGTATGCACCCGCCTTTGTTTAACAGCCACCCACTCGGGGGACATCTTCTTGAATTGTATCTTGAAGCCATCTTTTCTGAGTGTCCACCATCAGTGGGTAAAAAGAAAACAAATCATTAGTATGGACTGCTGAGTATTGCTCGCTCTGGACTCTTGGCAAGGCCAGTGCCCACCCAGATTAAAAGAGACACCCTTGGGGTGCAGCGGGAACGCAGGCGATATGAGCCCCTACCAAAAAAGGGCACGGCACGTGGAAAATGACATGCTCTCACATACGCAGAGATCATGCTGAGTGTTTTGAAAGGCTTTGGGTTTCCTCTGCCTCATCAAAGGGTCTGGGAACAAGGTGATGACTACAGGAGTCAGATATGTATCAGCAATTACCAGGACCCATTTGTGAAAGGCCCCATGTGTGCCAAGTCAAATAGTTCCTGTGAGGCTCTTGTTATTGTCTGCATATATTTACATGCAGAGCCGTGGACTCCAAAACTGTACTGCGGTAAGACTGGGGGAGCCAGTGAGAGCTCCAGCGAGTTACTCAAAGCGAGTTAAGAAGTTCATTTACTTCGACCGAACTCGACAAGAAAGACTATTGACAAATGTGACCATTCAGCTGCGGTGTGAACAGGTCAATGTACATTAAAAACCCACTGAAATATGTGAAAAAGTCTTGTGCTGTAATGTTACATTGACTCGTCAGGTGCTTTTACTTGTGTCGAGAACAGCTGCAGCTAAACGTCATGCATCAAACTGATCATTATTTTGTTAGATTGATTGTGGTGAGTGCTGTTGTCATCATTGACTTAATGGTCAGTTTGCTAGCGGCCTGTGTGAAGGTCAGTCTGAGCGAGAGCTCTCATTGGCTCCCGGCCACCATTTCTGATCTGCGATTGGCTGGCATCTGAGACTGACCAGCAGACACGGCCTCTGACAGGATGCCAACGAACCTCGGGGCCTGGATCCACCCACCGAGTCCCCGCCTCACGTGTTTGTCAAAGTCACCCGTTAATTGCAACGATTGTCCAGCAGACTGGAAGAGCCCAGCCCCTTTCTCTCTCGCGCTTTCTTTCTGTCTCTGAGTGCCGCCTGCATGCCTTTGCATTTCTCATGTGCTATTTTCAGTGCTCTCCTCAATTGCTGAGTGCACTACAATGCTGATCACTTTCCTTTTTGATTTTACAGCAGGGTCCTGGCTTTGTTTAGCTCAGTCACTTTGAGCTGTTAAGAGGACGCCTCTCCGCTCACTCGCTCGCTGCTGTCTGGATGCCCTCGCTCTTTGACTTTGTTTTTTTGCTTTAATCGTGCCTGGTGTGTGTGAGTGTTGTGCTTCAAAGAGCAATAGGAGCTCTATGTTGTCATTCAGGTGTAGTCAGTCAGTGGTTGTTCCTGCCTCACTAGATTCTCCTCTGTGTATGCAAAAGTGCTGCAAGCAGGAGGGGGAGGCTGAATGCTCTCTGCGCTCCCCGTGTATCAGTGGCAGCACGTTGGTGGAGTAATCTGGTTAAATAAGAGGCATAATGGCTGATAAAAGGTGTGCGGTTTTTATAGTGCAGGGATCTAAGAGCGGCACCGGGCGGCCCGAGCAGCCCCTGCTGTTTTTCTCTCTCATTCACATCATACACACCCACAGAAGGAGCAGAGAAGAAAGAGAGAAGGGAAAGCATAGAGAAAGCAAGGGATCACAGGAAAGAGAGCAAGGTGCCAATTCCAGTAAGTGTTTGGAAATGCATGTGCTTGACAGGAAGTACGAAATCAAAGAGCAGTTTTTATTTTACATAACACATCATGTTCTCTCTTTCAAGCCCCTTTGCATGATGCTGTCATGAATTTCACATTGTGCCTGCAAATGGCTAAATTTAGCTATTACGACAAAGTCAAGGAGATGCCAGCCGGTGTCAGTGAGGGGCACGAATGTTGCCGTGACCTCAAGAGCCACTTGGCAGTTTTGTCAGGTTACCTAAGGGAAGAATCCAGCATGGTGAACCTTGGGGAATCCAAACCACTGGCGTGTTTATGACCCCACTGAATCTCAGTAGTGATGGCACAACCAACAAGCTACCACTTGTTTCTCCAAAAACGATCAGCGCCAATTGTTTTATGGCCCCACTCCTGATAAGACTCTGTGTACGCAATGTGGTCCCATGGTGAAAAAAGGGGAAACGCCGCCGGTTCCCACACCAAGGAGCAGTTTGCCTTTGGGATTAGGCTGATGTCCTGTGTCATGTGGGAAAAGGAGAGTGAAAAGTGAGAAAGTGCAAGCAAATAACCTGCCCCCCTCCTTTCCCCATATATCAGCTGTTTCTTCTGCTTTCCTAATCATTGCCTTTAACTAGCTTTCATAGCCTGATTGAGCACCTTGTCTATGGGCAGATAATACTCATAAAGCTGGTATGATAAAGTGTCACTGTTGTGTTTGCTCTTCTGTTTGCTCTGGGATTTAACTACTGCTGAAGTACTTCTCTTCTCTCCCCCTACCCACGATCATGTGAACTCTGGGAGATGGCTGGCTATGGCACTGTTGACATCTTTCTCTTCTTCTATCCACTCTTTTTTATTCTTTGATATGAGAGTTTGGTTTAATGTGACAGTGTTCCATCTCTTCTTGTCATTTTGAAGTGGGCAATATCTGTGCCTCTAGTGGCACCTAAAAGAATTGCAAGTATTTAAACAACCCAAAATTGTCTCAAGCTATGTTGTGGGGCAGGACTGCTTGTTTGTTCTAACAATGGAAGACAGGGGAGTGTTTGAAACTGCAATTCTCTATGGTACCACTAGTAGTGCAGAAATTACACTCTTCACCTTTAAGGATGTTTAACCCCAGGGAGAGGGAGTTTTGTGTTGGACTCATTTGCTATGTGATGTTCAGTTTAAGTGGGAAGCAGATGTTAAATTTAGATCAGATGCTATAATTGTGGCGTGTTAATGATGTAGATACTTTGCATCTGTCTCCATGTGTACTGGAAGTCCTTC